CTTTATTATTTCAATTATTTTTATTTCATGTTCTCTCCTTTGTTGGATTTTTTAAAAGATTGATTTACTTGAGAGAGAGACAGAGATAATGAGAGAGCACATGAGTGGGGAAGAGGTGCCCCTGTTGAATTTTTTATTGTACTTTTTTCTATTATTCTTTTAGTGACTATTCTAACGATGATACTTAACTTTACAATTCATTTTAAATTAGTATTCTTTCTACTTTATGAACAGTGAGGACTCTTTTTGGGAGTGCCTGGGTGGCTCAGTCATTTAAGCATCTACCCTCAGCTCAGGTCATGATACCAAGGTCCTGGGATTGAGCCTCACATCAAGGTTCCAGAGCTCATTAGGGAGTCTGCTTCTCTTTCTCTTTCTTTCTCTCTCTCTCTCTCTCTCTCTCTCTCAAATAAATAAATAAATAAATAATTTTTTGAAGAGTCTTTTTTTTTTTTTTTTTTTTAAAGAGAAAGAGAGAGTGCCTGTGTGGGAGTGGGGAAGGGCAGAGGGAGAGAGAGAGACAGAATCTTAAGCAGGCTCCTCGCTCAGTACAGAGCCCATGCAGGGCTCATTCTTGCAGCCCTGAGATCATACCTGAGCTGAAATGAAGAGTTGGCTGCTCAACTGACTGTGCCACCCAGTGCCCCGAACAATTAAGACGCTTATAACAGTTTAGCTCCATTTGCCTGCTCCTGCTTTTGTTCATGTGTTTATTTTCTACATTTTTATAAATCACCACAAGACGTTGTTGCTTATTTTCTTTCATGTGAAATATAGAACATACAAGTATATATAAAAAGGTGCATCTGTATGAGTGTATATGAATACGTACTTGTATATGTTACACACACACACACACACAGACGTAAGTGCCTTCATTCTTTCTTGTAGTTCTGTACCGTGTTGGATTATTTTATTTGATTCTAGAAAGTTTTTAGTATTTCCTGAGGTCTGCTGGGAACGTGTTCTGTTATTTTTTAAATTTTTCCTGTATTTGATTCTAAAAGGTAGATTCTAATTTTTTTTGAGAATCCCTGTATTTTTATCTATTATCCCCCATAATTTGATCTTTTAATATATTCACACTCATTTTAAAGTCGTCCTTTCTGCATTAATTCCAATATCTTGAATCCTCTGTAAAGCAGTTTTTGTTTTTTCTTTCAGTTTTTAGTCACTTTTTTCTGCTTGATAAATTTTATAATTTTTGATTATGTAATGAATGTTGTGAATTTGGAAAATCATAGGGACTGAGGATGCTGTTACTTTCCAGCCAGAGGATTTGCCTATTCCTCTGATCGTATATAGTGTCTGATCACTTTAGTCATGTCAGGAATTTTCCTGGGTCAGCACTGGGGTGCAGTGCAGTGACTCATACTTTTTTTCTTTTTTTTATTTAAAGATTTATTTATTTATTTGACAGAAAGAGAGAGTACAAGTAGGGGGAGCGATAGGCAGAGGGTGAGGGAGAAGCAGGCTCTTGCTGAGCAGTGAGCCCGATGGGGGGCTCAATCCCAGAACCCTGGTATCATGACCTGAGCTGAAGGCAGAGGCTTAACGACTGAGCCACCCAGGCATCCCAACTCATTATACTTTTGATTTTTCCTGATCTGTGGCCTCCCTGGATTTTTTCTTTAAGCCTAACAGATCTTTGACTCTTCAGTAAGTAAACAAAACAAGATGTTCAGTTTAGTCTCTCAGGTGTTTGAGTTTAGCTCTTTCAGCTCTCAGCTTTTGCAGCTTCAGAATATGGCAAATGTAAGGGGAGTCCGGCTATATATTTGTTGTAGTTACACTTTCTTAATAGACATTTGTCTCATAAGAACTCAAACATTGAGATGATTTTACTTTTCCTGGCTCAGCCCCCTTGTTGGGGATGGCACTTCTGGGTTTTTTATTGTCAGTCTGGAATATGTCCTAAGGTTTGAAAGTGCTTTCCCTCAGGCAGTAATTATTTAGCTTCCTGCCTTATTGAGGTTCAGAATCTGGCAGATGTCTTGAGGAGGAGACCTAATGTTTGTTACAGGCCCCTCTGTCTAGTGGGACTTGGTTTGTTATTTGTGCCATGACTATGAAGGAGATTTCACTCCACTTTTCTGATTTAGCTTTCCATTCTCCCATACCATCCTGATACTAATAAAATGTCCTGTGGGGAAAATTGGCTGGCATTCTGCTAGATTTCACCTCATCATGCCAGCCCAGGAGTGATTTCTCTTTCCCAGTGGAGTATGTCTGCCTACACTCTGTCCCTGCCCATAATCTCCAAAATGCCCCTCTCTAGCTTATTAGATAATACTGTTTCCTGATGCTTCCATAACTTTTCTGATACAAAAAAAAGTAGATTTTTTTTTTATTTTTTTACAGCTGAACAGAATTCATTGTTTTTGCACCACACCTAGTGCTCCATGCAATACGTGCCCTCCTTAATACCCACCACCTGGCTCTCCCAACCTCCCACCCCCCGCCCCTTCAAAACCCTTAGATTGTTTTTCTGAAAAGTAATAGATTTTTAAAAAATTTTATCTCTTGTCAACTTTCCTAAAAACGTATTTATATTCTAATGAGTTATGTTTAGATTGTTTTGGACTTTCTGTGTACCTAATTATGTCAAATATGAAAAATGACAATATTATTTCTTCCTTTGTTATCCTTCTGTCTCTCATTTCTTTTTTCTGACTTATTGCTAATGCCATTTAAGACCTTTACTAAAGTTGAACAGAAATGTTAAAATTGGCATCCTTATTTTATTCCTAATCTCACAGTGAACATTTTCTGCATTTCAGTATAAATAGGATGGTTGCTCTAAAGTTTTTTGTGGTTTCCCTTTGCTATGAGTTTTTATCTACATAATTACTGAGTTTTATCAAATGCTTTATTTGACTATATTTATATGGTCATATGCATTTTCTCATTTATTTTATTGATGTGGTGAATCATATTGATTGATTCTTGAGTGTTAACTCACCTTGCATTCCAGGAGTAAACCATCTTGGTAGGAATTCACGTACATCCATTTAGTTTTGGATTTTGTTTATGATTTTGTTTGGATTTGGTTTAGGATTCTTGCTTTCATATCCATAAAGGAGATTGGCCTATTATTTTCTTTTCTCCTAATTGTCCTTTTCAATTAGTGAAGGCAGAAGGTAGAAATTCAGAAGGTCTTCTCTCTTTTTTTTTTTCCTTAAGATTTTATTTATTTATTTGACAGAGAGATCACAGGTAAGCACAGAGGCAGGCAGAGAGAGAGGGGAAAGCATGTGGGGCTTGATCCCAGGACCCTGAGACCATGACCTGAGCCAAAGGCAGAGGCTTAACCCACTGAGCCACCCAGGTGCCCCAGAAGTTCTTCTCTTTTGTGATATAACTATTACTCCAAAATAATACAATATTGCTCTGTTTTTAAAAGAATAACTTTTTATTTCTTATTTTCAAAAAATATTTATTAATTTGAGAGAGAGATGAGTATCTGTGTGAGCAGGGGAAGGGGCAGAGGGAGAGGGAGAAAGAGAGAGACTCCTAAGCAGACTCTCCACTGAGTGCAGGGCTCAATCCCATGACTCTGAGATCATGACCTGAGCTGAAATCAAGAATCAGACACTTAACTGACTGAGCCAGTCAGGTACCTCAATAACTTCTTCTTTTTTTTTTTTTTAATAAACATTTTTATTTATTTGACAGACAGAATACAAGTAGGCAGAGAGGCAGGCAGAGAGAGAGAGGAAGGGAAGCAGGCTCCCTACTGAGCAGAGAGCCCGATGCGGGGCTCGATCCCAGGACCCTGGGATCATGACCTGAGCTGAAGGCAGAGGCTTTAACCCACTGAGCCACCCAGGCGCCCCACCTCAATAACTTCTTATTTTTGAGTAATTTTAGACCACAGAAAAGATACAAACATAATAGAGTTCTCTATACCCCTCTCCCAGCTTTTCATATTAAAATCTTATATTACTATAATGTACATTTGTCAAAATTAAGAAGCCAACTTTGTACATTACTATTAACTACACTCCAGATTTTATTTACGTTTCATATTTTTTCCATCAATAACTTTTTTTGTTGTTGTTCCAGGACCCAGTGCATATCACATGCCCTTTGGTTAGCTATTGTATATCTTTAGTCTCCTCTTGTCAATGGCAGTTCCTCATTCCTTCCTTATTTTTCATGATTTTGACAGTTTTGAGGAATATTGGTTAATCTGAGTTTAGATTGTTTTTTGCGTGATTAGATGGAATTATGGGTTTCGAAAAGAATACCATAAAAGGGTACCCATGTTTTCACATCCCAGCAGAGATGTGACATCCACACAACTACATTGGTGATGACTTGAATAATATGGTGTTTGTTGTTTCTCTACTGTGAAGTTACTATTTATTACTTTTTATTACTCTGTTCTTTGGAATCCAGTTAATAAGTCCAGCCCATACTCAAGGAAGAAGGGAAAGATTAATCTTCACCTCCTTGGATGAGGCGGTATCTGCATATATTTTTTAGGAATTCTTCTGTAAAGAAGATTTGTATTCTTATTTTTAAAAAATCATTTATTTATTCTGTTTTAGTATTAATTCTCTAAAATATTAATACATAATTACAATCTTAAAAACCTCTGGTTCCCCCACTGACAAATAAGCTTCTTGAGGCAAGTCTTTATTTATTTTTGTACACTCTATGCATTTAGCACAGTCCCTTAATTTATTGTAGATGTCTAGTAATTTTTAAAAAATGATTAAATTTTTACTTCAACTGGAAAGTACCATTTCCTCAGCTAAATTGTACAATAGCATTCTAAGTTGAAATTTAAAGTAGATTTTTAAATGAATAAAGTAAACTCATGCATGATTTCATTATAAGTATTTAAGATAGCAAAGGGTACTGCTGAAATAACTTAGCCATTTGAGGTTGATGTATCTCCACATAATGTTCCTTGAATCTGCCTTTGGAAAGAGAGTACAGTATTTGGTAAGCCACGGATATTACCTTCTGTGTCTTTTCTCCTTTTTGTTCAGACCATCAGAGGAGATTAAGACCCCATTTTCTGCCTTTCCTGGAAAATTGTCATCTGATGCCGTCACTCAGATAACAACAGAAAGTCCAGGAAAAACCATGTTCTCATCTGAGATTTTTATTAATGGTGATGATCATGGACTTGAAATTCCAGAGCCCAGTATCCCAAAGGTGGGCAAAGTTCCTGTCAAATTTGCTTCATCATCTTCAGGCCAACGGATTACTCATCCTCATGGCACAGATGGTAAGAGAATGTGATTACATTTTAGGTCATATTACCAACTTCTATATGAAATGATCTCAGAAATTTTATGAGAGGGTCTTTGTAGTCAAAAAATCCAATTTTATTTATTTATTTATATTTTTAATTTATTTTTATTATGTTATATTAGTCACCATACAGTACATCATTAGTCTTTGTTTAAACTTTATTATTTCACTGTTCCAAGATTCATTGTTTATGCATCAATACCCAGTGCTCCATGCAGTACGTGCCCTCCTTAATACCCATCACCAGGCTCACCCAACCCCCCGCCCTCCTGCCTTCCAAAACCCTCAGTTTGTTTCTCAGAGTCCACAGTCTCTCATGGTTCGTCTCCCCCTTTGAGTTCCCCCAACTCCCTTCTTCTCCCAGTGTCCTCTATGTTACTCCTTATGCTCAACAAGTGAGCCCATATGATACTTGACTCTCTCTGCTTATTTCACTCAGCATAATCTCTTCCAGTCCCATCCATGTTGATACAAAAGTTAGGTACTCATCCTTTTTGATGGAGGCATAATATTCCATTGTGTATATGGACCGTATCTTCTTTATCTATTTGTCTGTTGAAGGACATCTTGGCTCATCATTAGTTTTTGATGTAGTGTTCCATGATTCATTGTGTGTGTATAACACCCGGTGCTCCATGCAATACATGCCCTCCTTAACACCCACCACCAGGCTAACCCATCCCACCACCACCCTCCTCTTTAAAACCCTCAGGAGGACATTAGGAGAAGGAAAGGAAGAGTGAATTTGGGTAAATTGGAGGGGAGATGAAGCATGAGACACTGTGGACTCTGAGAAACAAACTGAGGATTTTGAGGGCTTGGGTGAGCCTGGTGGTGGGTATTAAAGAAGGCACATATTCCAGGGAGCACTTGGTGTGGTGCGTAAACGATCAATCTTGGAACACTGAAAAAATAAAATTAAATTAAAAAAATAAAACCCTCAGTTTGTGGACTCCTGGAAAGAAAACCTAATTTTAGTTTTAAACATTAGGATTCTACATGATTTTATCCATCTTTTATTTACAAGGCTGTGAAAGGAATGTGGCATGTTTTTGCCTTAATTACTAGTGGAGATAACTTATGTGGGACTCCAGCTGCTCATCTTTGATTTTTATCTCATGATACTTAATTAATTAGTTCATAAAAATTTAAAAACTATGGATGTCTGGTTTCAGGCCAGCAGATGAAGTATTGCCATTTTGTATTATATTAAATGTTACATACTGTAATAAATAGATGAAAAAATGTCATAGTACCAGCACAATACCAGTCTGTTGCTTATAAATCAATGACGAGGAACCCAGGTTGACTGTGGCCCTGCTGTCTTTAAAACACAGAATCCACAATTTCCTTGGATTCACCATCACAGTCAACTAGAAGAGACCCAAAAAAGCATGGAGAACCCTATGTCCTAGGCCTGGAAGTGGCTCAGATCACTTTCTTCTATCTAGGAAATGGCTAAACCATTTAGCTGTGATTTTGAGGATAAAGAAGTAGATTTTGATGAATAGCTGGTGATCTCAACCCTAAGGTCTACATTTAGAGTGTTCATGTGCTGTGAGAGTGGTAGTTCAGTGGTATTTATACTATATAACATTCAAAATAGAGCATGTTATTTTCTTTTTCAGACCGATAGCAGGAAAATTAATAATTAAGTTCCCATTCTTCCTTCAAATGAGAGTTAAATTACAGTAATTTAAGAATTTAATAGTTTGCACAAGTCTTCTCAAAATATTTAAGTTTTCCTCCTTATGCAAAAAGGTCTGTAGATAAAGATGGGGTATGCCTAAATATATAAAGAAAATTTCTTGGTTCACCATATAACTTTGAATGAATTTAATTTAAACAAGTACACTTGTATGTTAAGATGGTTATAATTCTTACACATTTTTATGGTGAAAAAAAACATACCCCCAAATCTACAGTTTAATAAATATCATAAGGAACATCCTTGTATATCAGTTACCTAGTGCCACAATGATACTGTGAAACAACCTCCCAAATCTGTGCTTTGTAACAACATTTGCTTTTTCCACTCATGGGTTTTGTGAGTCAGAGTTTGGCTTCAGGCTACAGAAATGGCTTAGGTCTGTACGCCAAGCCTTGTTCTAAAACCCCAGCTAGTGGAAAAATGTCTGCCCTGGGTTATATTGTTCTCATGGTGATGCCAGAAGCATAAGAGGGGAAGTCCAACTGTGGAAGTGTGTTTTAAACCCCTACTCACATCAAATGCGTCAATTTATATAGAGGCCATAATTTATGTTTTCACCTTGGCATACAGGATCTAGGAGAAAGGATTCCTTTAAAGGATGAATGTCATTTGGCTTACTGATAAAATAGTGTTTTTAATACTGTGTATTTAAAAGTAAAATTTTGTGGGTTTTTTTAAATTTTTTATTTTTTCAGTGTAACAGTATTCATTATTTTTGCACCACACCCAGTGCTTCATGCAATCTGTGCCCTCTCCAATACCCACCACCTGGATCCCCCAACCTCCCACCACTCGCCCCTTCAAAACCCTCAGATTGTTTTTCAGAGTCCATAGTCTCTCATGGTTCACCTCCCCTTCCAATTTCCCTCAACTCCCTTTTCCTCTCCATCTCCCCTTGTCCTCCATGCTATTTGTTATGCTCCACAAATAAGTGAAACCATATGATAATTGACTCTCTCTGCTTGACTTATTTCACTCAGCATAATCTCTTCCAGTCCCGTCCATGTTGCTACAAAAGTTGGGTATTCATCCTTTCTGATGGAGGCATAATACTCCATAGTGTATATGGACCACATCTTCTTTATCCATTCATCCATCGAAGGGCATCTTGGTTCTTTCCACAGTTTGGCGACTGTGGCCATTGCTGCTATAAACATTGGGGTACAGTGGCCCTTTTTTTTCACTACATCTGTATCTTTGGGGTAAATACCCAGTACTGCAATGGCAGGGTCATAGGGAAGCTCGATTTTATTTATTTGTCAGAGAGAGAGCACACAAGCAGGCAGAGTGGCAGGTAGAGGCAGAGAGAGAAGCAGGCTCCCTGCCGAGGAAGGAGCCCAATGCGGGACTCGATTCCAGGATCCTGGGATCATGATTGAGCTGAAGGCAGCGGCTTAATTGACTGAGCCACCCAGGTGTCCCTCGTGGGATTTTTTTTGTATGAAAACATTTTAACTTATAAAGAATAGTATGTTAAACACATAACTGTGCTCAATACGTAAATGACCAAATTCAGAATAATAGATGTATATATTTGGTTCTATTTTCCAAGTTTTTGAAGAAATAAATTTTATAGTTGAATTTTCTTCTTTATCCTTCTCTAATCCTTTTTTATCTTTCTTAAGAATAACCATTATTTTCTGTGTAGTCACTTCTTTCCCCATAGGCAACCAGGCCAAAGTAACCTTAAAACTATTGCATCCAAACAAAGTTGTCAGGAATTTTGAAAAGCTACTTCTCTGTCTCAGAATTTTCCAGCTCTGCATGACAGCCATTCTTGCTCTCGGTCCATTGTAATTCTGCCCACTTGTTATTACTCATTTTTTTTGTAGCCTTTCACCTAACTGGTGAATTTAACCATCATTATCAAACATTATATACACTGGTAGAGAAAGAAAATTAATAAATCAATATTCCTACAATGACTACAGTAATGGCCAAATAGAAGTGGAGGCAATAGCCTATTTTTTCTGTTTAAAATTTCCCGTCCTCTATACACTTTTTTGTTTCCCTTGACTTCACAGAGACAAAGCCATATATATATGTGTATATATATATACACATATATGTATAAACTCTCCTCTATGATAATCAAATTATTACTTTGTTAAAACATATACCTCCTTCCTCTAGAATGCTAGCTCTTCTTGAAGGCAGAGATATTTTTCTGTTTTAGTTCACTGATATATCCTAAGACTCTTTTCTTTTTAAAGTTTATTTATTTAAATAACCTCTACACTCCATGTGGAGCTCAGACTCACAACCCTGAGATCCAAGAGTTACATGCTCTTCCGACTGAGCCAGCTAGGCACCCTGATCTTTCCCAAGAATCTTGTACACTGCTTGGCACATGAAAGGCACTCAGTATTATTCAGTGAATTAATAAATCTTTTCTTATTAATTTTTCTGATCTTTCTGTCTTTAGCCCAGCCTTCACTGTTGCCATATAAGCCTCCTGGTAGTACGAGGATGTACTATGTTCCACAATTGAAACAAATTCCTCCATCTCTGGATTCCACATCAGATACCACCATTGAGAGCTCACACTCAGGTATTATGCATAAATTATTCAGAATTTTATTTTTTGAAATTTGACTTGTGGATTGGCTGGTTAATTCTAGAATGACCTATGAAAGCTCAGTGACCTAATCCTTTAGCGTGAAATATGGAGCCTTTCATGCCTCAGTCTCTGGTTCAAAGAAATGTTATTTGGTGAGATGAGCTATGTATATATAATCATTTAATAAGTATTTAATGAAGAAAATTGTATGGATAATTGTTTGTTTAGGTTAGTGGACTTCATTTCAGATGAAGGTTTCCAAGTTTTTTCTGTTCACAGTGCCCTTAGTATTTTGGTGATTTTTTTTTTTCTTTTCATTATGTAGAACACATATGAACATAAGAAGTGTTTTTTTAAGCCGCTGTAAGTTATTAAGACATAAATACTTACTGTTTTGATCTAACAAACAAAAATATTAGGTATTTCCTTTTAGTTTTGGGTTTTGAAAGAGAATACTTTACTTTGTTCTTAAATAACTAGTTACTTACTAATGCAGTATGTGCAGCTGTTAGAACACTGTATAGCTTCTCAAACCTTGAGATGAAATTTTGCACAACCATAGTTATTTGCTGCTTTTACTACAGAAACTGTCAAAAATCCAGCTTTGCAGAGATACAACAGCATTGAAAGGAATATGGCACTATCTAATACTGAAACTTTGAACTCCTTTGGGCCAGTTGCTTGTGCACTGTATACTGGGTACCAGTTATCACTGTTGTTTCCATGGAATCTTAAAATACCCCATAGCACCCCTGTGAGATCACCACAGGGGAACTGCAGATTTAGAAAATGAATAGCACCCCATGCAGGAATTCAATAAATAGTTCCTGTGGGGATTTTAATATAAGAATACCGAGTTGGTGTGGTGTGGGGTTTTGATTGATGCCATAACGTTTAGGGTGGTCCACAGGAGATGACTTCTTTCAGTTTAGATAAAATTTTTTTTCATGATTTATCAATGACATATGACAAGACATATCAATGACAATGACAAGATAACAATAGACATCTTGATATGTGTAGAAATAGCACACAAATGAGAAATTTTCCCTAGTCTTAGGCAGACTTTTTTTGTTGTTAACTTTAAGAGGACCAAGCAAGTACCTAGTTGTAACTTAGTTAAAGTGCCTGGTACAACTGCTTCTAATTCCCCACCGTGAAGCTACTGAAAAAAAGAACCATCAAAATGCTCATATTACCAAATGATAAGATTAATTATTAAGCCTATAACCAGGAACTAGAAGAAATTTCATCGCATGCAAGGCCATGATTTTAAAGATTTTATTTATTTATTTGGCAGAGAGGGAACACAGGCAGGGGAAGCTGGAGAGGGAGAAACAGGCTTCCTGCTTAGCAGGGAGCCCGATGCGGGGCTCCATCCCAGGACCCTGGGATCATGACCTGAGCCGAAGGCAGAGGCTTGACGACTGAGCCACACAGGTGCCCCAAGGCTATGATTTTAAAAACACACTTAATGGGGTTTTATTCCTGGGTTGCAAGGATGGCTCAATATTTACATGAATGCGATACATCACATTAATAAAAGAAAAGATAATAACCATATGATCATTTTCAATAGATGCAGAGAAAGCATTTGATAAAGTACAACATCCATTCACAATAAAAACCCTCAACAGAGTAGGTTTAGAGGGAGCATACCTCACTGTACTAAAGGCCATGTGTGAAAAACCCACAGCTAATATCATCCTAAGTGGGGAAAAACTGAGCTTTTCTTCTGGGGCAGGAACATGACAGGGATGTCCACTCTCTCCACTTTAATTCAGTGTAGTACTGGAAGTCCTAGCCACAGCAATCAGACAACTAAAAGAAATAAAAAGCATCCAAAACAGCAAGGAAGGAGTCAAACTTTCAGTATATGCAGATGACATGATACTATATGCAGAAATCCAAAAAACTGCTAGAACTGGATAAATTCAGTAGAGTCACAGAGTACAAAATCAACATACAGAAATCTGTTGCATTTCTATACACCAGTAATGAAGCAGAAGAAAGAGAAAATAAGGAATCAGTCTCATTTACAGTTGCACCAAAAACAGTAAGATACCTAGGAATCAACCTAACCAAAGAGTTGAAAGACTTATACTCTGAAATTGAAGATGATGCAAAGAAATGGAAAGACGTTCCATGCTCATGGATTGGAAGAACAAATACTGTTAAAATGTCTATACTACCCAAAGCAAATTGCACATTTAATGCAGTCCCTAACAAAATGCCAGTAGGATTTTCACAGAGCTAACACAAGCAATTCTAAAATTTGTGTGGAACCACAAAAGACTCCAGATAGCCAAAAAGTAACCTTGAAAAAGAAAAAGCTGGAGACATCACAATTCCAGACTTCAAGTTATATTACAAAGCTAGAGTAGTCGAAACAGTATAGTACTGGCACATAAATAACCACATAGATCAATGGAACAGAATAGAAAACCCAGAAATGAAGCCTCAATTACATTGTCAGTTAAACTTTGGCAAAACAGGAAAGAATATCCAGTGGGAGAAAGACAGTCTCTTCAGTAAATGGTATTGGTAAAACTGGACAGTAACATGCGAAAGAATGAAATTGGAACACTTTCTTAAACCATATACAAAAATGAATTAAAAATAGATTAAAGACCTAAATGTGAAACATGAAACCATAAAAATCATAGAATGGAATATAGGCAGTAAAGTAATTTTTTTGACATTAGCTATACCATCTTCTTTCTAGATATGTCTCGTGAGGCAAGGGAAACAAAATAAAAAATAAACTATTGGGACTATATCAAAATACAAAGCTTCTGCCCAGGGAAGGAAACAATCACCAAAACTAAAAGGCAAACTGTGGAATGGAAAAAGATACTTGTAGATGACATATCTGATAAAGAATTAGTATCCAAAGTATGTAAAGAACTTATAAAACTCAACCCCCAAAAATGAGTAATCCAATTAAAAATGGGTCAAAGACACAAATAGACATTTTTCCAAAGAGGATCTGCAGATGGCCAACAGACACATCAAAAGATGCTTAACATCACTGATCATCAGGGAAATGCGAATCAAAACTACAATGAGAGATCACCTCACACCTGTCAGAATAGCTAAACTCAACAGCAAGAAACAACAGGTATTCATGAGGATGTAGAGAAAGAGGAACCCTTGTGCACTTCTGATGGGAATGCCAACTGGTGCAGCCACTCTGGAAGGCTGTATGGGGTTCATCAAAAAGTGAAAAATAGAACTATCCTATGACCCAACAATCACACTAGTGGGTATTTGCCTGAGGAATACAGAAATACTAACTTAAATGGATATATGCACCCTGCTATTTATAGCAGCATTATCTATAATAGCCAAATTAGGGAAACAGTCCAAGTGTCCATTGATTGTTGAATGAATAAAGAAGAGATGCTACAGGGGTGCTTGGGTGGCTCAGTTGGTTAAGTGTCTGCCTTTGGCTCATGTCATGATCTCACAGTCCTGGATGAAGCCCCATATTGGGCTCCCTGCTCAACAGGGAGTCTGCTTCTCCCTCTGCCCCTTTTCCTGCTCATGCTCTCTCTCTCTCAAAATAAATAAATCTTAAAAAAAGAAAAAATGGTGATACACACACACACACACACATACATACATACATACAATGGACCATTACTTAGCCATAAAAAAAGAATAAAATCTTGCCATTTGCAACAACATGAATGGAGCTAGAGAGTATTATGCTAAGCAAAATAAGTTAGAGAAAGACAAATACCATATGGTCTCACTCATATGTGGAATTTAAGAAACAAAACAAACAAGCAAAGGGATAAAAGGGGGCAAACCAAGAAAAAGACTCTTAACTAAAGAGAACAAATTGATGGTTACCAGAGGGGAGGTGGGTAGGGCGATGGATTAAATAGGTGATGGAAATTAAAGAGTGCACTTGGGATGAGCACTGGGTGAAGTATGGAAGTGTTGAATCATTATATTGTACACCTGAAAGTAATACTACATTGCATATGAATGGAATTTAAATAAAAACTTAAAAAATAAAAATACACTTAGTAAGGAAAACAGAAACACTCACAATCATCTAGTGGCTACCAGAAAGAAAATAATTGAGTAAGAAAACTTTGATCACTCTTTTACTTTCAACCCTCAGTTCAGAAGACAAAATGTCTGAACCAGTAAAAATCTGACTGGATGTCTCAATACTTTTTGAGGCCTCTATTGTCCTACTGTATGTTTATGTCCTTAACTCTCATTTAGTTGGAGACATTAATTTTGAGAAAAATTGGACAGTGGCAGAAAGAGAAAATAATTCAGGGATGGTACATTGTATCCTGAGAAATACTGTCCCTGTAAATAAAGTACTGAATAAATCAGTTAAGACAGAAGGAGATCCAGTAACGATATATATATTTCAGATTGTAGTTTTTATGTTCTCCATCTATTCTGAGAGGGGAGGAGTTGACCATAGTAAGATCCTTTCTTTATCCAGTAGAGCTACTCTAGATGAAAACCTAGGAATTGTTCTAATAGCTGTTTTATAAATTAGTATGTCATGCATCTATAGATAGAGAAGTATCCAATTAGTGTTTGGGGCCAAGGGCAAGTCATATACATTAATAGCAAATATTTGGGCCAATTAGATTTTCCTCAAGTGAGAATGAATAAACCTTTGAATTAATGAAATCCCTAAAATTTAAAGAAGGCAAAGGTAACAGCCCCCCCACAAAGAAAGAGATTGATGTTAGAAATTTATGTATTGTGCCCAGTAACATTATTTTTTTTTGATTTTTTTTAATTTATTTGACAGACAGATCACAAGTAGGCAGAGAGGCAGGCAGAGACAGGAGAAGGAGGCAGGCTCCCTGCTGAGCAGAGATCCCGATGCGGGACTCGATCCCAGGACCCTGAGATCATGACCTGAGCTGAAGGCAGAGGCTTTAACCACTGAGCCACCCAGGCGCCCCGCCCAGTAACATTCTTAAGTAGAACAAGACTCTATATTAGAT